CTGATAACCCTTAATGGACTTTTGCTGATCAGGACTGAAATGATGAGGCTTTAAGGATTTGTTGATAGTTAAGAGATGGGATATGGGAAGAAGAGATCATGTGTTGTATTTTAAGAGAAGGTGATAAATTACTAAAATTGTTTATACTTGTGATGAAGGGGGATGTATTTTCTTTATATATTTTCTTCTTTACTATATTCTTTCTTTTCTTTCTTTTCTATTTTTCTATTTCTTCTTTTCTGCACCTTCTATTTTTTTATTCTTTTTTTAGTTTGTATTAGTTTCTATTGTAATTGTAATTTTTAATAAAATTACTATTAAAAAAAGATAAAATAATCATTCCCCACTTTGTTTTTTTAAGCATGTGTATTTGATGTCATCTACTCCAGCACCTTGTTGCATAATTATGTATTATATGTGAGATTCTTACAGGGGTTAAATGCCAGTTAGGTCAGCTCTTAAGCCTTAATTTCTTGCATGGAAGCAATAAGAATTCTCCAGATCTCTGCAAGGGTTGCCATTTAAAAATAAAAAATAAAAACCACTTGTATCTTCTATCAGCTATCTGCTTATTTTTCCAAATTACTTTATATGCTCCTTCTGGACTCTTGTATTCTAATTATTTCAAAGTTTAAAAGGGTTTTATATTGTGAATTCTGGAAGTTAAAGTCCACACATCTTAAAGTTACTTAGATTGAGAAACACGAATTTAAATGGCAAAACTTGTGGATTTTATTTAAAGCTTCCATATTGTGCAATCTTGTTTTCTTTTCATCTCATCATGATCAGTGCAAGGCACTACTGCTAACTCTCATAGAGCTTGGCAACAAGGCAGAAAATATTCTCATCTACCAAATCTGATCTGTGGGAGAGTGAAGGCATGGCAATTAAAAAAAATGGCTAATTAACTGTGCCCAAATGTACAGACATCTGTAAATACTATACAGTATTTAAAATGTTCTTCCAGGAAACATTTCTTTAAAAAGAAATACTGACTAGTGAATGCAACGGAGAGAGATTTGGTTGTTACCATACGGTAAGTGTATTGCACAAGATAACATTAGTGCAAATGGTTTCAAGTCTACTGTCAATTATCCATAGATTAATCTCAGAAGCAGATGTATTTTTCTGTTACCATGGAGACTAATGTAGCCTTCAAAATACATTCAGGAAAATCCTTGTTTCAATTCCATTGTCTCTGCAGTCCAGGCTGTGAATAGATTCTAAAGGTGCTTATGAAAATGCACTTTTCTGAGTTGTGGAGACTGGCCAATATTCAAAATAAATGCAATATTCAAGAAAACATGAGTTCAAATAAGATCAGTGAAAAGCAAAAAAAAAAAAAAAAAAGGAAGGTAAAGGAATTGGAAAGGACA